ATGTAAGAACCTCAGCTCCAGAGAACAGGAGCTCAGGCCACAGTTGCCATGTTAGGTCAAAGTCCATGAGGATCAGATTAAGAACAGACCAGCTGAGGGTGGCCCAGTTAGATGGGGAGATGAAGGAAAACTGAGGCTGTGACCCTGCTGGCATCAAAGGTCCTCAGAGATGCACCTGGACCTTCCACTAGGAGGACAAGGCAAGAGTCCATGAGCTGAGCACAAGCAGGTGGGAGAGAATTCATTTAGGAACGTGAAAGGTGCTGCCTACAGTTTCCTGTGGACAACGCAGGGGTCACCAGATGAAATTCTGAGGCTTGTGTTGCAGCCCACAGTGGGCACTTACAACAGGAACTCAGTAGTGGCTAGTAAGAGTGGATCTGCTCCCCAGCCTCACCACAAATTGCACCTAGATTGCACAGGTCACAGTGCTAGGTAACCAGATTGGGTTGTGTGAGAATGAGCAAGTGACCTCACTGGTGGTTCTTAATCTCCTTTTCTATAAAAGATGCAGCAGTTAACACAGAAGATGAGCCAAAGGTGATGCAAACCAGCCCAAATGCCTAGAAACAGAAGCTAGAGGAATACTGCTTTCCTGCTGGCTCACAAAATTCAGCAAGCATTTTGTAAATGAGACTGTTTGGGGGCATGGTGCTTAGTAGTAGAGTGCTTACCTAGCATGCACAGGGCTCTGGGGTCAATGCCCAGCATATCACACACACACACACACACACACACAGAGAGAGAGAGGGGGGGGGGTTTAAACATTGCATTTGAAAGTATGGAAATGGCAAATAGAGACTGGGTTCATTTTGTTTTGTTTTGCTTTTTCAGACAGGGTCTTGCTCCGACTATGATCCTCTTGTACCACCATGCCTGGCTCAGTTAGAGGGTTTTGAGGAAAGTGGAGAAAAAGCAGATAACTATTTCTTGAGCACCACTCACAGCCACACCCTGGTGTCTGTTCCATGCTGGGTAGGCACCTGAGTTGTTGCAGAACCTGTAGAACCCTGAGAAACAACCTTGTATCCTCCTTGTACATCTGGGTATCTGGCCCTAAGTTGGAGTCACTGTCTTCTGAATGTTACATCTATGTGCCATCTTTTGGTGGTTCGGTAGGATCAGAAAAGACTACACTTAGTCCCTTGCAAAGCCCACTGAGGTGGCATCTCCTTAGGAACAGCTTGGCCATGTGTCCATACTTGCTCTGCAGTGAGGGAAGGCCTTCGTGGAGCCTGGTGCTGCTCTGCCTCAGAACTGCCTACAATCTCCAAGCCTCGGTCCATGCAGACACCAAGCTGTGTTTATCTCCCCTGTGGGACACCATCCAGCATGCAGCATGCTGTAGAGTCATATAGCCCCCAAACTGGCCAAGGAGTTGTGGCCATGGTTCCTGGGAGAGAAGCGAGAATACTGCCTTATGACCTTTAAGTGCTATCGTCAGTTTTGCCTGGACAGGGTGCACAGGCCGGCCGGGAGACACAACTTTGTGGACTTCATTGTGCCTCACTTCATCTAAATAATAGGCAATACGTGAGCAAAATAACTCTGGCTATGTTGTGATTCCCTGGCCCCATTTGGCACAGTCCATCCCTGATGGTGACTCTAGCCTGGGCCAGCAGGGACCTGGTAATGGGCCCATTTAAGATCAGGCCTGATTGCTTCCAGCCCTGGCCTACCTTTTAGGGGTGACCACTTCCCTCCAGTTCAGGAGGCTTTCTGCTCAGTACTGCCCTGCTCTGTATCAGTGGGAGGCTGGGGTAGACCTGGGCACTAGACACATGCAGCAGTACTGCTCAGACCCCGTGGGAATTGCACCAGCACATACTTACAAGCATGTGAAACAGGCATGCTGACTGATAGCCCTGGGCTTCATCAATGGCGGTAGGATGCCAGCTGGTAGTGCAGCTTTCTGGTGAAATCTTTAGCATGGCCCATTGGGCTCTGGGCAGCTAGGCTGTGTCTCTGCAAAGCATCCAGCGGCGTTGTACACCATTAGGTTGTATACCATTGGGGTGGTCTCCTTTTGCTGAACACTTGGGAGGAATGTTACCACACACACTGACTCCTTTCAACAATTATAGAAGGGATGGCTTTGCATACCTCAGAGGTATGATTTTGATTTTAAAATTCTTCCTGGGTATCAAGAGTCCTAGTCCTAGATCAAAGTCTGAGACCCCACTTTAGCCACTGTCCATAGTCCTGTTATCTGACCCAGCTTGTTGTTTTTAACACTGTGGTAAAACCATCCTTTGGGAGCACTTTTTCCCCCCGTTTTTTTTTGTTGTTGTTGTTTGTTTGTTTGTTTGTTTTTGAGACAGGGTCTCCCTGTAGCCATTGCTAGCCTGAAACTCACTATGTAGATCAGGCTGGCCTCAATCTCACAGAAATCCACCTGCCTCTGCCTCCCCAGTGCTAGGATTAAAGGCAAGAGCCACCACACCCAGCCTTGTTCAGGAGCACTTTATATCCTATTGCTGAACACCAAACCTGCTTCTAGCCAGATGTGCCCAAAAGCCACACCTTTGAGATTTCTTGCTGTGATTCTAGGGCAGGGTAGCCTTCCAGGTTGGTGTAAACTAGAAAAGAAACAGGAGAATGGGACTACTGCTGCCAGCCTCAGCCTGCAAGGGCATTCAGTACTGCCAGATGCCTACAGAACCTCCAGGAGTTGCCTGGTGGGCAAAGGTGACCCCAAAGGCTAATCAAGGGCCATCACCCTGCTATAAGAAAGTGTGATGGTCCCATCCACACAGCATGCCCTAGCATGAACTGCCAGGAAGACACAGACTGGTTGGGTTCACAGGGTCCTCAGTTATCCATGGCCACGGCCAATAGCTCCCTGTAGAAGGTGTCTATGCCTACTGAGGTATGCCGTGGGTACTACTTGTTCCCATGGTGAGCTGCTTCTCTCTTCCCTCAAGTGCCTTAGCCTATTAATGACCATCTACAGAAGCCAGTGCAATGAAGGACAAGTATGGCCGAAATCTCTTGAGACCCATAAGTAAAGCAGGAGAGGACTCAAGGTCCACTCAGACCTCACTGTGCATGTCCTCAGCTTTTATTCTCCTACAGACTCCGGTCTTCAAGCCCCTTGCTCCATGGTCACCTCAAACCCCAGACCACCTGCTTTCATCTCTTGCAGGCAGACAAATTCAATGCCTGCAAGAAACTGAGCAAGCAAAAGGAACACATGGGGAGCATGCCTATGCCCAGATTCTTGCTCCTGGCATGCTACCATTTGGCAGGTGGCACTCTAGGGTAGAGACAAAGGAAATTCATACCACTCTGCCCTGGCTGGGTGTCTGATGGGCAGATAGAGGTAGGAAGGACCCCAGTGGCAACTAGGGTGGAGGCCAATGTGTTCAGGAATACTGGCAGTGCCAGCATTCTTCCCACCACCTGTGCCCAGTTGTGGACTGCTGCTGTGTCCCACTAGGCTCTGGGAGGGAAGTTGTTTCTGATTTGTGGTCAGAAAGGCTTTGTACTGAGAGTCCAGGTAGGGCAGCCTATGCTTTGAACAGACTTCATTAGCTTTTGGATCCTGAATATACTGTAATGCTAACACAGGTGGGAGAGGGATAGCAATGCTAGCTGGTCTCCAAAGGGTCCAGTGTGCTCTACAGGGTCAGAGTACCCATTCCCCATCAATGTCAACATGTTTTTTTGAGGTTTTAATGGGTATGTATGAGACCCAGCCACCTGAGCTGTGTCCAACTTGGAGTCCAGCTCTCCCTCTAGCCTGGCCAGCCTCCAACTGGCCCCCAACAGCAACTCCCACCTTCTTTGCTTCCAGGTACCTGCTGGCCCCATGCCCCAGGCCCTGGTGAGAGCTGATCCTGTTCCTTCAGCCTCAGCTACTCAAGGGCAGCCAGGACAGGACTCCATCCCACCACAGGCAGCAGGAGCTAGGCTGGCTGGAGGATCCTCCCCCTGCAGGCCAAAAGCCAGAGCCAGGCTGGCAGTAGGCCCTGCTGCCTGTAGACATTCTGCTGCACCAGCCTGCACCCCCCCTGGTGGCCTCTCTGTATGGCGTGGGAACTACGTCGACAGCTCTCTGCTCAATTTATGAGTCACTCCAGAACCACAGAAGACGTGGGATATCTGGACATTATTTTTGCTAAAGCCCAGTGATGGCTTTTGAGCCATCCCAGAGTCTGGGGTTGGCCAGTGACTACCCAAAAAGACTGCTGCCAGCAGCTAGCAGGGAGGTGGACCCTCCTGGGCCTTGGTCCTCTAGCTGGAGACCACACTGCTTGGGAGGCTCTGGGCTGCAAAGATTCCTTGGAGCATCAACCTTTGCTGCCCTCTCCAGAGCACTTTGCTGACTGTACATGGAGGCTCTAGACCTTACAAGACTTTGAGCCTCTTGCCGACCATGAATATTAAAGCTTGTTTATCGAAGCAAAGCTATTCTGCATGGTGCTTGTGTGGGTAGGAGGGACAAAGGCCAACTTGATAGGCCCTGCAGCCCACTAAAGATTTGATAGGACCTGAGGGGCGTGGAGACCTGCTTCTAGTGCAGGGAACCTGCTGGGTTGTTCCCTGCACCGAACTCTAAATCCGGAGGGGGCAGGGTGATCACCACACTGCCCTGTAGGGTGCTCGAAGGCCACCCTTCGAGATGGAGCTGGCATCACGCGACAGGGGCAGATCAATGCTTCCTGCCGCCGGGATCTCCGGGAATCTGGTCACTAAGGGCTCACCCATACTCCAAGGCTTTCTCCAAGGTGTCTCCACGCCAGGGGTTACGGAAACTGCCCCTTGACCCACAGCCACTCGCCCGGGTGCGATACTGCTTTCTGGAGACCACGCCCCCGACCCCCGCTGCTCTCGGTTTTCCGGAAACCCAGCACTAGCCATTGGCTGCACTTCGCTCCCCGCCCCGACGCGTGGCTCGGCTGCCCCGCCCCAGCCTCAGTTTCCCGACTGACTCAGGGCGGGCCATGGGCGGGGCTCAGCTCAGGCCACGCGGGGCGGAGCCCGGGAGCTGACGCGGCGGCCCCGCCCCCAAGACCATAACCGGTCGCCGTCGCAGCCGCCGCGGCTAAAGCTTCCTGAGTGCTAGTGCCTGAGGCTCGAACCCGAGACCAACGCCGGGCGCGCCCCGCCTCCTGCCCGCCATGGCTGCGCCCCGCACGCCCAGCGCCCCCCGCGCTCTGGCGGCCGCCGCGCCGGGGCCCGGAAAGACCAAACTGACTCACCCCGGGAAGGCGATCCTGGCAGGTGGGCCACTCGGGTCGCGGACCCTCGTCCCTCCGGTTTCGCAGGTCCGGCCGCGCTTCCGGGTGGGCCTGGGACGCCGAGGCCCCGCCCCGGTTCCGGAGGGGCGGGGGTGCCGGGGGCGCGGCCCGGGTGCCCACCCTTCGCGGGGGCTCGTCTGGTGTCTCCCCTGCACTCCCCTTGGAGACCACGGGGTGGGGGCGTGGGCGCAAGCCCGCAGCGCGCGGCCACCGGGCAAAGTCCGGGCGGGGGAGGGGCCGCGCGGCGGGCTGGGTCCACCCGCGGAGGGCGTCTCCAGAGAGGGCTGTTCGGTTCCTGCAGGCGGCCTGGCGGGAGGCATCGAAATCTGCATCACTTACCCAACAGAATACGTGAAGACGCAACTCCAGCTAGACGAACGCTCGCAGCCACCGCGGTACCGCGGCATCGGTGAGGAGGGACGACCGCGGTGTGGAGGGTGGGGTAGTGCAGGACAGAGCACCCGGGATCCTGACCGTGCCTCCCGCAGGAGACTGCGTGAAGCAGACTGTCCGCAGCCATGGCGTCCTGGGCCTGTACCGCGGCCTCAGCTCCCTGCTCTACGGTTCCATCCCCAAGGCGGCTGTCAGGTGAGCCCCCAGCTTCGCAAGAGCGACCACTGGCGGGGGTCGCTGCTGCTTCCAGTCTCAAACTACCTTCTTCTTAGGTTCGGAATGTTCGAGTTCCTTAGCAACCACATGCGGGATGCTCAGGGTCGGCTGGACAGCAGGAGAGGGCTGCTGTGCGGCCTGGGCGCTGGTGTGGCAGAGGCTGTCATGGTCGTGTGTCCCATGGAGACCATCAAGGTGGGTCAATAAAGCTTGCAGGGGAGGCCAGGGTGTCTGTGAGCCTCTTGAGGTATCCCAGGCTGTGAAGGCCACATGCCCCCATAAAGACTGTCAAGATGGGAATGGACCACATTTCCCTCTCTCTCTCTCTCTCTCTCTCTCTCTCACACACACACACACACACACACACACACACACACACACACATATACATATATATATATGCTGGGGTCACAGGGAGGGCTCCACATAGTGAGGAGTGTTCCAGGAGTGGGAGATGTGCAGGGAGGGTCTCCTGTGGAGGCTGTCCATCCAGAAGGCAAAAACATAACCAGAGTCTTTGAAACTACTATTATAGATAGAAAGCCTGCTATAACTCACTGCCCAAACTGTAGGAAATAGCAACATGATGAAGGAGGCCTTTCAGCCCAGGACCCTCTTGTCTTGAGGCCTACTTGTAGTTGTGCTTTAGAGCAGCCTTAAGGACAGAGAGGCATTGCTTGTAGCAGAGCTCCAGGTCCCCAGTCCTCACCTAACCTTGGTGGGCCCTGGGGCTGCTAGCTAAAATTCAGATGTGGCCAGGGGTCAGCTCCTTTGCTTCCTTCCTCTCAGGTAAAGTTCATTCATGACCAGACTTCCCCGAACCCTAAGTACCGAGGATTCTTCCATGGGGTTAGAGAGATTGTTCGAGAACAAGGTAAGCCTGGGGGAGTCTGAGACCTCAGCCAAGGGGAAGGACCTGCACTTGAGTGTCTATCCTGACCCCCAGCTGGGGCCTGGGAGGCACCTGAGTGACCCTATGCCTGCCTGTCTCCAGGGCTGAGGGGGACATACCAAGGCCTCACAGCTACAGTGCTGAAGCAGGGCTCAAACCAAGCTATCCGCTTCTTTGTTATGACCTCCCTACGCAACTGGTACCGAGGTACACCTGTGGCCCAAAATTCCTTTCCAAAACTTGAAGGCTGAACTTGGTCCTTTGGGCTGGAAGGAGAGGGGTACTTTCATGGGTCCTGCCCCAGGTTCTTCCCAAAGCTCCCCTCCCACTTAATCCTTCCAGTATTCTGACTACAACCCTGCTCATATTCAGGGGATAATCCCAACAAATCTATGAACCCTCTGGTCACGGGGGTCTTTGGTGTTATTGCGGGTGCAGCCAGTGTCTTTGGGAACACTCCACTGGATGTGATCAAGACTCGGATGCAGGTAAGGATGGGGCACTGGGAAAGTGGGGACAGGAGCTACAGGCAGGGGCTAGTGACTAAAACTCTGACCCACTGGTGCCCTGCAGGGCCTGGAATCACACAAATACCGGAACACACTGGACTGTGGCTTGCAGATCCTGAAAAAAGAGGGGCCCAGAGCGTAAGTAGGGGAGGGGCAGAGCTGTTAACCCCCTCCAGGCCTTCTACCCTCTTGCTGGGCTGTCTTCCATTAGACCTCTACTCTTCTAGTATCTGGAGAATGCCCTTTCCAGGGACCCTGTTCCACCTGCTTTTTCTCCCCTGCCTGCTCCTCTGTCACTTACTTCAGACCCTCTGCTCTGCCTAGGTTCTACAAGGGCACTGTCCCCCGCCTGGGCCGAGTCTGCCTGGATGTGGCCATCGTATTTATGATCTACGATGAAGTAGTGAAACTGCTCAATAAAGTATGGAAGACAGACTAAGCCCAGAGGGTACAGTGGGGTGCCCCAGCTCCTCCAGACTAGCCCCTTCCATCCACTCTTATGATTCCAGTGAAGTAGTGCCAAAAGGTCCCTTCTTTTGTCCCTCAAGCTCCATGGCCTGGTCTGTTCATGGTGACTATCATGTGTTACATAGTGCCGCTGTCTCCTCTGTGGTCCACATGTGGTACCAACTGTTGTTTCTATGTCTAGCCTGGCCATGGCTGAGTGTCTCTCTGGCCTGTGACTCTGTGCTTATCCATGTGCTTACTTGTGAACCACGAGTCTGTTTCGTGTTCTATGTCATGTGCCCGTGTGCCCTGGTCCATGACCCTGTAGCCATGGTCCAGCCACAGTCCGGTGCCTTCCACCCCAACTGGCAGGGGCACCCTGCCCTGGCCTACCACAGCTGCCTCCGGGCCTCAGCCTGGCCTCACCGCATTCCAGGGGCTACATGCCCCCCTGCTTCTCCCACCATTGGCCTTAATTGGCCCTCGGGCCCTCCCTCTGCCCGGGACAGAGTGGCACACACCACTCTCAAGACCACCCTGCCAAGGAGAATAAACCGGATCCTGTCGCAGTCTCCTGTCATCCCTCTATAGTGGGAGGAGGGCCAACCTATCCCCTCATCTGAAAACACTGCAGCAGGCAGGGTAATAGGGAAGCCCAATATCCACCCTGAATAAGGTAGCTGCAACCCCACTGAAAGATCCCTGAGAGGCCCTTTTGGAACCAAAAGCGGTCTGTGCTACTTCCTGGCCTGCCTTATAGGGCAGGCGAGGCCCAGAGGTCGGCTGAAGAGTGTGTCCACAAGGCCCTCGATGGACTGGCCCTCGGTGGGTAGGATGGAGGGCTGGCACAGAAGATAGTGCTCCTAGGAGGCCTCTGCCCCTCACCAGGGTAGGAGGGGCAGTTATAGAACTTCTTGGCCTGTCATTCTGCATCGTGGCCCACCCAGCCTCTCAGGCTAGAATGGTTTTGCAGGGAGAAGGTACAGGAAAGGATTGATAAGAAGACTTAACCAGAATAGGAGACAGCTGCTCTGGAGCAGAAGGTGGTCCTCATGATCAGGGAACATCTTGGTGCCTCAACCCCTACCTCTACCTCTCAGCAGGTATCCTGGTTGGAAGCCCCTTGTTCCAGGGCCCAGGCATAGACAGGAGCCAAGCCAAGGCTGTAGGCTATTAGAGCTAAGGCTAGAGTTACTGGCCCTGGCCCCTTCTGCCACGAGCCAGGAGGAGGGACCCAATATGCAGGACAGGACCAACTGGTACTCCCAGGTATGCTGGGACAGGAGGCAGCTTCGTGCCTGCAGGGGGCATGTGTTGCAAGGCTTTGTCGTGAGAAAACTGTCTTGATTAAAGGAGCTTCCCTGTAGGCAAGTCCTACCTACCCTTGGGCCTGTGAGGAAGACTGATTGATTCTGTGGCTTTATACAGGCAGCCCTGGAGCCTAGGCCAGGCATGTGGCAAGGGAAAATTGAGGACAAAAGGCCGATGAGGGTCACATGTAAGTACAAGGTGTGGAAGCCTCTAGTAGTACTATAGCTCTGGGCCTGTCCTGTTTCACTGGGGCTGACTATATGCAGTGGTCACAGACTTCCCAATCTTCTGCAACAAAGATAGGACCCCAGCAACAAAGCCTACTCTGTCCACCTGCAATAGGTGCTGTCCCTCCTTCCCCCAATACATCAGGGCTATAGCCTCACACAAACAGGCTACCCCCTTTAGACCTCCAGCACAGCTGCAGTGGAGGAGATGGCACTGGCTTCCTTGGGGTCTGCTCTCAAGCAACAGTGTTTGGCAAGGGAGGAGGTTGTGAGGATAGTCAGGTTCTAGTTCCCCTGTTTTTATGTGACCTTGGGCAAATCACCTAACCTCAATTTCCTAATCTGAGAGGTGGAGTAAGAATCTGCATCATGGGTCTTGGAGGCTAAAGTATGATCCCTGTAGGGAGTAGAGCTTGGCTCAACAGTTGGCACAGAGCGACCTCACCAGGGTTGCTTTTTTTTCTTAGGGTGCAAGAGATGCCTTGCAGGCTTTCCTGGTCCATGTTGTTTCTGAGACAGTCAAGAGCTCAGAGGGGACCCCCAACCTCCACTGTCCTCCAGAGATGCCGTCATTCACTGGATACCTACATGAAGGCCGGTTCTCATCCCCTTCAATAGATAGGGCCCACAGCTATACTGGGGCTATTGGCAGGCTGCTACTGAGACTGTCCTAGAATCCCTGAGGCCTAAATCTCAGGTAGCCCAGCCAATAATGATGACTGGAGTATCTCAAATTCCCCCAGGACTGAGTACAGGAAAGGCAGCTACCCTACCTACACCATAGACTGTATATATCAGGAGGTAGCTTCAGTTTTAGTAGTTGAATCCTGAGACAAGTGTCTGTAGGAAAACATTAGAAACCTTGAGATGTTGGGAAGTGAACAGGTTGGGAGATGCAGGCAAGGGTCTGCAGGAGCCAAGTTCATTCAACCAGGAAGGTAACAGAGACCAGTAGCAAACCAGCACAGACCCAGGCCACTGGGCTGGGACCACTGCCTACCCTGGTAACAGTGGACATGGATGTGTGGGTCTTTGAGCTCACATGGAGGTAGAACAAATTCCACTACCAGCCTGGGGTTCCACCTTCCTCTACCACCACAGGAGGTAACTAAGTTTGCAGTCAGAAGTATGTAATAGAAGTCACAGATGGTCTCCACTCCACCCCAGGCAGCCTCTACCACCTGGTACAGCTTGAAGCCCACAATCCTCAAAGAATTGTGCCAGGAGACCCAGTGGTCTCAGAGGAGAGCAAGGGGTGGTAAGCACACATAGGGCAGAGCTTAGCCAATCCTGCAGTGGGACTGAGGCCCCCTAAGCAGATGCCCTGCTCCACGCTGGATTACATGACACTCCTCACAACTGCACAGGCAACCCCTGGGATTTTTATGTCCTTCTGTAGGTGATAACACTCAGCTTAGTATCTGAAAAAAATCACACTTCTAGTAAATAGATGGTTTTGGTGATGTTTATTTTTTGTCTTTGAGACAGGGTCTCCCTGTAGCCCCAACTGTCCTGGAACTCACTATGTAGACCAGGCTGGCCTCGAAATCAGAGATCGACCTGCCTCTGCCTCCCAAGTGCTGGGACTACAGGCGTACGCCACCACACCCAGCTGTCTGTTTTTTAAAACAGCACTCAGGATAGACCCCAGAGCCACAAACAGGCTAAGCATTCTACCCCTTAGCCATGCCTCCTGCCCAGAAACTGTCTCCTTTAAGGCAAATAAAAGAATTCTGGCTTTCAGGCTGTAGCCCTCCCAGCATGCAGCAAGCACCATTTTGGTTGAGGATGTATTATTTTTCTTGCTGGCTTTAAATGTCCTGTTTCACAGATTCCTGGATAGGAGTCTTAGGCATAAGGAACAGAATAAAGAGTCTGAGGAACTACTGACCTCTTCAAGAGCTGGGACTAGGTTCTGGACATAGCTAGAACAAGGGATGGAGATGCAGACTCAGAGGAAGGTTAGCCTGAAAGGATGAAGAACCAGAGAACACTAGAGAGCAGGGACAAAGGCAGTGTAGCCCTGAAACTCCCCTCCTCCCACTTTCTTGGCAAATACCCTCCACCCCTGAGAGCAGTCTCCCCTCTGCTCTAGTTGTGGCAAGCCCTGCTTCTCCCCATCGTGACTCTTAACACAAGTTGTCATATTTCTCAGTGGAGATTATCCACCACACACTTCATCCTCCACTGGCAGGACCTAACCTAGAAGTCCTCACCTGAGTACCCTCTAGGCCCCAAGATCATTATAAGTGACCTCAAAGGACACAACCACCTGACTCCCTCTACTCCCCAGTTCTGCCCAAATGCATACCTCACTAGCCTAGCAATGCAGCCTCCTAGCACTCCCGGCAGTTTTCAGCCACTGACCAGGAAGGGGTCGCCCGGGCTCTGACCAGCCTAAGCAAACAGCCCTACACAGGCTAGCTGAGCGCCAGCACCTCTCCACCACCGAGCTCTCCCAGGGCTCTAATAGTAGGAAAAAAAATAAAATGCCCGCGATCGTGATGCAGAAGCTGATCCTGCTAAAGGGAGTAGAACACACGGGAAGAGTTGTGCTCGCCACCGCCGGCTGGATCGTGGTTTCCATAGAGGGGGCGAGGCCTGGCGGCGCAACGCCAGAACCCCTCTCCGAATGCCGCCGGAGAGGAGCACAGATGGGCCTCAGCACGGGGCGATGCTTCCTGGGGTTTGCTTCCGGAGTAAGAGTCGGGTTTTCCAGTTTCGGGGCCAGGAGAGTAACGCAGGTACAGCCACAGACTACCTTCTCCCAGCGTAGTCTCAAGCTCTCGCGGATGCCCACACGGCGCGCGCTGATGGCGTCACGAGGACGCGCCGGATCTCCGAAGGCCGCACACACTGCTGGCGGCCGGGGGAGCTGGAATTGTACTTGGGTATCTGACCCCGCGTGGCCTGCGACTTACCAGGAAGTCACTCGCAGTCACTCCTGCTCCATGGATTTTATCGCGATTTCCCCGCTCGCCTACAAGCTCCTCTACACTCACCGACTCAACCACCACAGTCCACTCTGCGGAGTGATGACGTCCTGGCACACTTGACCCGTCGGTTTGAAGGGACCCTCCCTTCGTTCCAAGTTCAGAGTTTCGCTACCTGAAACAGTTCCAGAGATTCCCTCCTCCTGGAACAGGTTTCCTGACCCTCCGTCTTTGCCCTGTTATTGTAACTGCTATTGAGGTCTCGTATGACCCCAGGGTCTTCTCTATAGAGCCGGGGCTGGAAAATCACTGGTCATTGCTTAATGAAAAACACCCTATCTTTGCCTCCTCTGTCTTATTGCTCCATTGTCAGATGGTGCACGGATGGGGGCCAAAAAGGCTCCACTGGTCCCTTGTACTTGTCCCTTCACACCCTGCGTGCTAGCTAGCTCCAGTCCAGCCATTTGTTGCAATTATGAGCTTATAAACGAACAGTGAGGCTGCGCGTGGTGGCATACACCTTTAATCCCAACACTCCGGAGGCAGAAGCAGGGGAGTCTGGTGAGTTTGAAGCCAGCCTGGTCTACAAGACGAGTTTCAGGTCATCTAGGGCTACATAATGAGACCCTGTCTCAAAATAAATAAAAGGAGCAATGGTCTTGCCATGTCCCTTGGAGGAGGAGGCCAAGTGCAGGCACAGCTTTCCGAGTCCCTTACTCTAGAGCCTGTCAGTGGCAGCAGAGAGAGTTGTGTTCTGTGAAAGGCAGCAATGAGCATAGTCTGCACCACTGGACTGGCTATACACTTGGACTGGCCTGGCCCCGCGACATTACTCAGATAAGGAAACTGAGGTGGAGACAGAAGACCTGAGACCAGGAGTCCATAGACAGCAGCAGCACCTCACCCTGTTCCAACTAGAGAGAAGGAACTGAAGATAAAGGGATGTGAGAGGCAGCAGGTGGTATCACATCATTCTTGTCAGAGAGTCAGTCAACAAATGTCCTTCATGGGTTCCTACTTGGAAAGAGATCGCAAGGGAAAGAGAGGCTACAAGTGATGGCTCCCTGCTTTTATGTCTATCAACATCTACCTCTAGCTT